CGGCGCTAGCTTGGGGAGATGTCGACGGACCAGAGGCTTCGAAGAATGGCGTGCTAAATACTGTGGCCACAGTCGAAATAGGGAGAAAAACGGTGGCAACCAGTGAAAGCGCTTTCAAGCTATAACTGTCGCGTTGGGTTATGCGGCTGTTTCGCATAGCATCAATGTTGAACGCCTGTTGAGATCAACAACAAGTCAGCAGCCGGTAATTCGCTCGCAGAGCAGATTGGAGCCTCTGGGCACCGGAAAGAAAGCATACGAGGTTGATAATGCTGGTTAGCCGCTTTTCAACACTAATGGTGCGCAATTTGGTCGCCTGGAAAAGCTCCCTGCGGTGCAACAGCATAGCATGCCTTGCGTGGCTCTCCATATTGGGGAGCGTTTATCCGATGTTCCATTCACCAGATGGAGAATTTTCCTATTCTCCTTCTTCTTAATTCTGTTGTGGGGGAGAGAGGGTATATGATAGCTCTTGGTGATGTGCGATGGCTGCGTCGAGTGACCGAAGCGTGGCATCAACGGCTTCCAGCATAAAGATCGCATTTTTGGCAATCGTGTGGACGTAATAGAGATCGACGACTGATGGGCCCGGGAAACTCGCATCAAGGTCTCTGGTGCCTTTAAATGTATCCTGTCAGGGAGTTAAAAGGCGCGCTCGCTCATGCTCATCAGCTCTAGTTATCTTCTACCGGCTCCTATTGATGGAGTGACCGGCGTACCTTTTCGATATTTTGGCAAAGATTATTTGTCTTCCAGGCACTCTCGTCCAGACGGAGACACCATGATTCATACACCATATCGAGCAATAGATACGGGTCTTGAAGGACATCTCCCCAATTGGATTCTTGTGCGAGGTGGAAGATCCGCTCGCAGATACCCTCCACCGGCCGAAAACATATGAGAGTAACAGGACCATTCGCGTGGCGTTTATCCTGATTATTGGGTGTTTGACGGTTGGCTGTTGGCGTTGACCATTTCAGGACAGCCGCGGACTTGAGCCACTCTGCGTTTTCGGCATCTGGGGAAGACGCCGTGCAGAGAAAATGCATCCATACCGCTGGTTTAAAGCGTTTAGATGATGTCCAAGTTGCTGCAGCCAGGCTACATAGAGCGAATATCGTCAAGGCCTTGGAGGGTGACGTTACTTGGTTACTACTCACCTTGCGATCCGTCTCTGGCTAGCGACGCGCCGAAGGAGTGCGTCACTCCCTGCAGTCTCTCCAACACAAATCCGCTTGGAATCTCATACCGGTCTACCAGCGCTCGGAAATCAGGGATTGTGCTGGGACTATCGAAGGGGGCGAGACTAGGG